TCATGACAATATCGGGTACATTATAAATTTTGTAAAATTAACAATTTGATACTTATAAAAATCATGACTATCGGGTACCCGATATTCTGATATGTACCTGATATGTGTCCAATATATGTCCGATATCCATAAATATCTGGCACCCGATATATAGCCGATATGTACCTGATATATACCTGATATTTTTGATTTTGACCTGTGGGCTCCCATTATTTCCAAATGTTTCTCCTCAACAATTACACGAAATTTTTGTAAAAAATTATGCTGGCACCAATCAGTGCCCATGTCTTGAACAGGTTAGCTAATCTACTTTCAGAAATATGATCTGATTAGCTTTATTACGAAGCCTATTTTTACGATGTTTTCAGATAGGAGATACAATCTTTTTCTTTGTAATACAGACACGATGAATCGGAGATTCGAGACTCTGCCTCTTCTTTTGGAGTTTCTTAGGATCCAGATTGTATCAGTCTGAACCTGTGAATTCTAAATCAGAACTGGATGAACTAGTCTCTGTCTTAGATTTTATCCATGGTAACTTTCCTTTATTTATACAACTTAGTTCATACTCAGGCCCTTTAGGGGCGTCTCTTTAAGACATAATACGGAGTTTTTCAAAAATTTCATACTCTATATCATTTTCTATAGAATGGACCGATTTCTAAATATTATTGAGGTACGTTTTGATTGAAAGATTTCCACCTCCATCACCTAAATCTACTTTAGGGTATTTCTTATTCTTGGTAGTCTCGCTATTCTTGAGAGCATTATTGTCCAATCTTCTGGGTGTTGGAGGTATAAGAAGTTTATTACCATGATATCTCTTTCGCCACTTATGATCTTCAATATTTGAGATAATTTTGTTAATTATATTCATAACCTCCTCTTGAGCTAGACCAGCTTTAGATTTCGCCGAATTGGATGAGTTATTTTTAGTGAAGCTGTTTATGTTAAAATCTTTATCGATTAATAGGATACTCATACCATTTATTACAATTTTAGCATGGTGGCTATGGGCTTTGGGAGAAAATTCAAAGCTTATTTTTGCTTTATGCATCCATAACCATTCTTGTCCTAATACCAGATCGAATGATGGATTTTTGTGAATTTGAAAGGCTATTATTTCAGTGGCATCTAAGCTTCGCCACTTTCTTTTATAGCAAAATTACAAATCTAAGCATTTTATTTCACCTATTACATTCACATAGAGAATCTTAACAGGATCACAGATATGACATATTCCATAATTTTCTTCAAGCTTATCGAACAAGTGCTTGCTAATAGTATTGTATTTAGATGTTGTATCAATTAATGCTTTGACTGGAAATTTTCCTTCGACAATAGTATCAACGAACATGTTAAGTATATTTAATAATATATATTACCATGAAAAATAACTAATAACTTGATAAATAATTATACATTCTCAAGATCAGAAGAGTCAGTTATAGATTTGGATGCACAATCCTCTAAGCTAACCGAAAAATTAAATATGGCAGATGGATAAGCCGACTTGCTTTCCTACATTAGGTAAATATAATTTGCTAAACGAAAAATTATCATGCAATATCACTTTATATAACTCGATAATTGTTTTTTCTTTTTTACTCTGTAATATCGTTTCGGATATATAACAGCCTTACACATGTGCTTATCATCCGATTCTGAACTAAATGTGGAAGAACCACTTGAATCGAAAGTATCAGAATTAGAGTTAGAAGAAACAGCGTCGTAGAATTCATCAACACCATTTTTAGTAATACACACTATAACCCTTCTCCCTTTCTTCTCAGTAAGATTTTTAATACAGAGAGTTGTTCTTACCTAAGCATCCTCTGCGTTGGTCACAATTTCAGGTATGTATGTTTGAAGTTCATCATCATTATATTTGCAACCACAGAATCAATTATTACCAAGTAATATATAATTAGGCATTTTAGAATTATATTTTTCAACTAGTACTTCGGTTGGTATGGTAATAAATTTTTTATTATTAAGTCGAACATTATTTTTTATGTTAGAGGTGAAGGTAAGTGGGATTACGGCTAACCCAAGTGGAGCTGTAGTTTCTTCTCTAACGAATTTATTATCTTTTTCTTCGAGGGTCAACTTTCTGCTAATTTTATTACTGATTTTCTTGAGGAGTTTATCAGTGCACATAGATAGTCCAAGAAAATCCAGTTCAAGACGACAATTAACTTTTTGACCCTCTACTTTAGTTTTGACTATTTTCGCTTTCATAATAAATTATATTATATACTATATCTTTACCAGAAAAAATAATCAAGTTTAGATAATTAATTACCCATTCTTCAGTAATAAATGTAATTATTTATAAACTGTGCTGGAGGATTCTCCCTGAGATAATTAATAATTGCAGAAATACAATCCGTTTCATTTGATATATGACCCAAATAGTAGTTTCTAAAGGACCTAGTTATAGCTATCCTATTTCGTCGACCAGTAAAGATTGGGATAAGTGGAGGTAAATCAGAATTGGAGAATTCATCATCTGAATAATCTGAATGTTCGATTTTAATTTTCGGATTGACTTTTTTCAGCACTTCATTACTAATCCTTCTACACCCCTTCAAATTAAGATATTTCAAATTAGTATAGTTGCCAGTTATCTTCTCGATAGCTTCATTACCAATCGAACAGTTGCCAAGCTCAAGATGTCTAAGTTTTGGACAAGAACGTGTTATTTCAGCGATATACCGATTAGTGAGACATATACATGAATTAAGACTCAGATGTAATAACTTTGGACAATATCTTGTAATTTCTATAATTGGTATATTAGTGAAACCCTTACTTTTATCAAGAATGAAAAAGTGTATATCCGGACATGATCGCAGAATTGTACTTATTAAAGCATCTGGAATTTTTAAACCTTTCAATCTGAGATATACCATCTTTGAACAATGGAGTGGCTTTATTTTTCTATGCATAACTTTTTCAAAGTTTATTAATCGTCAAGTAAGAACCTGAGACATATTTAAGGCACGCCGGCTCTGCTGATAATCTTCGTTGAAAAACTTAACGCGGCGTCATAGAGTAGGAGCACTGCAGTGATACCAAAGGCAGTTAACAAATAAAGCAGGATAGAGGGATCAATCAATTTCTAAAAAATATAAGATCTATTCTAGTAATTTTGGTAAATTAAAAATATTTGGTTGCGCCATTCTTAAGTTGTATATTATATCTTTAATTGAAAAAAACAGACACAAAATAGTTGGATAATTGCACATCCTCTTACTTATTTGACAAGTCTTTCCAATATGCTTAACCTCTCTACTAGCTCATCCAATGGAAGCTCTAATCCACATCTTCTGGCTTCCATCTGATTATTGGATGACAATTTACGAAGAAAGAAATATCTAAGCTGTTCTCCATTGTATTTAGCTAATTTGCCACATTTTTCAATTTTTGTAGAATAGTCCATTACTGATTCATTTCCTTGCTCCAATTTTCCAAATCGGGATTTTTGAATATCAGTAGACCCAGTTGAAATAAATTTTAAATGCTCAATTATTTCATTCAGAGAATTTTTAAACCTGAATCGAATTACTTCTTTTTTATTTTCTCGTGATAGACCATTGAAGAAAG